TGTTTCCTACGATTATCCTCCTTCTCTATTTCTCATATCTCTCTGTTTCTCCTTCCCTTTGCGTTTCATTTCTCCTACTTCTGACATTCCTGAATTCTTCCTCCCTCTATTGACTCCTCCCAACATATTCTTGCTAATTTATCTCCTTCTCAGCTCAAATTTTCTTCATATCTCCAAGCTCTTCTACCCGCCCACACCCTCAGCTTTCCTCGCTTCGTTTCTTCTCTGATCGTACATCCGGCTGTTTTCCAATCTACCCCTAACGTCCATCTTAACCCTTATGGGCACACTTCATTGGAGCTTCATACCGGTCACACTGGAGTCACAGTTACCCTACAGACTTTAAACGGTTACCACACCCAAACTATTAATTAGTTTAGGTTTAAAGAATTACTGAACAATCTTCAAATAGTGCAAAATAAGAATGAAATGTTTTATAAATGTTAATTTCAATTTGAGTGTAGTAAAACAATCTGTGAGAAATTAGTGGTTTTACTTAAAAAATCGTACTTTTTTAGATTTTTAATATTTAGCGACACGATTTTAGGGATGTTTGTAAAATTTAGCCTCAAGTTGTCTTGGGGTCAAACAGACGCCATGTGACCGTTGAGGGTTAAATATCGTTCATGTGTTCTTTCTATTTCGTCTCTTTCCTTCCATCTCCATATCTCCGCCCGTATCCCGATACCATCTGTACTAATGTAACAAGCAACCATATTCTCCTCTAATTCTATCCGAATTTTCTGTTCCCAATCCCCCAAATCTGTCTCATTACTACCCCCGCATTCTTCATTCTATGAACCGTAGATATTTGAACTACTTCGCTTCTCCTGCTTCCTTTCCTTTCCATTTCTATTCCATTCTCTTTTCTCTCCCTCCCCCTCTCTCAAATCTCATTATTTTTGTCTTTGTTTAAAAAATGGTGATTTCATCTATAAAAATGAAAGTGACCTAAAAATCTCTAAAAAAAATGACATAAAAACGAACATTTTTTTGGTATTGTGTGAGCCCCATTGAACTATTCAGCTTTGTCCTTAAAACATTTCGCGTAACTTTAAAAACAACAAAGATATTTAAGGTGCAAACGTTAGGTGACTCACCCTGTATACACATACTCGCTCGCTCTCTATTTCTTTCGTTATTTCTCTCTTTCTCTCTCTCTCTCTGACCCTGTCTCTCAGTCTGTCTCACGCACTCCCTTTGTCTTTCGCATCCATACCAAGCATGCGCGCAATTACGTTCGCACCTTGTCGTTTGACAACAATTCCAGTTCGTTGCACCCGCTAATTGTTTGTGTACGCTTCTTCGGAGGCAAGCAGCCTCGACCATATGATCGCTTTGCTCCGGTTATTGACCTCTTACATCATTATTTTCTTTCGCTTCTAATGCCCATTTTCGAATAATCAATGTCACGAACTATTGATCCTCTTTCAATAACGTTACAATATTTTGAAGGAACACAATTCAAAATAATATATACAATAACTAGACTGCGGATGTTTATGCGAAATAACATTTTCTAAAGTAATTTCTAAAGACAGAAGCAAATGGAGATATTTAGTTTTTCCTCCTAAGTATCTTATTGGGTTCAGACTAAAATAGAGAAATCATTGGATTCGATGAAAGTTTTATTGTTTATTGAGTTAAACTTCACTTTCCCGGATCAAAAATGATTGACCTTTTTGTATACCTCTTGGTAGTATTGAACGAGTAGAATCTGAAAATGTAAGTTTTATGTTTAGGAATCCACCGGTTCAAAAGTTATGCGTATGTAAAACCAAGCATTTTTAGCATACTTTACAGGTTAGTTTAACGCCATATTGACTTCTATACAAAATTCGCTCAATCAGTGGTGCCACTGCTTGTAAGGAGATGCACGAGATGGTGGCCATTTTGGCGGGATAATTCAAATGTGCATACAAAAAAGAATCACTTATTCAAAGCGAAATACTGATTCTGAGTTGGTTGGAGGCTGTTTACGAGAAAAAACCACTTATTCAAAGCAAAACACTGATTTTTTTTGTTGGTTAGAGCCTGTTTAAGGAAAAAAAACATTTATTCAAAGCGAACTATTGATTCTGAGTTCCAACCAACTCAGAATAAGTATTTCGCTTTGAATAAGTGATTCTTTTTTGCAAGCACATTTGAATTATCCCGCCAAAATGGCCGCCACCACGTGCATCTTCGTAGAAGCAGTGACATCACTGATTGGACGAATTTTGTATAGAAGTCAATATGGCGTTAAAGTAATCTGTAAAGTACGCTAAACATGCTTGGTTTTACATACGCATAACTTTTGAACCGGTAGATTCTTAAACTTAAAACTTGCATTTGCAGATTCTACTCGGTGAATACTACCAGAAAGTATACAAAAAAGTCGAATCATTTTTGGTCCGGGAAAGTAAAGTTCAGCCGTTTATTGTATTTCATAGAGCCCTGTGAGCTAGAAATGCATAAAATCCGCAGTCTAATAATAACTTCCCTCTTCGTGTTCCACCTGCTTCTACGTGTTGTGCCCATCTGTACAGCTGTTCACGTATCCGAAACCTTCGAAAACGTGTTGTACCATCTTAACAAATCTTCGTTTATCGGTGGTTCACAGTTCAAAAATTCTACCGCTTTCTTTCTGTATTCCAAGTTGATATCATCTTCTTGTTTCTATGGAATGCGGATGTCTTCTTTTACAACTTCATTGTCAGTATCCGCAACTTCAGTCAGTATCAGCATATCAAATCGTATGCCCACAAAATGTGCTTCTACTAGTTTTGGTTCTTCAAAGTCTAAAGTTTCATTGTCCTCGGCAGAAAACGATTGACCTTCAATACTTCTTTGTATGATATCTTCTAGTACTTCGTACAATGTAACTTCTTTATAATTGACTGGAGTCAGTGCAAACTGCGTAAAAGGGGATGTAGTCAGCAGCAAATTAATTACATTTGCTGGATTTTTAAAAACCGTTCTGCGGCAAAGTACGACCCAAAGGGTACAGGGGACAATGCTAACATACGTTTGTTCTTATACCTATATACAGGGTGTAATAAAAATTTTAGAGGACCCAAAAAGGAAGACTCGTGAGATGATTTGAAACAAGTTTTTCCTCAGCAAATATGTTATCTGAGGCTTTGTTAACGAGATATTAACGAAAAACTCCGATCAATTAGAGCACGAGTCTGTCGGCAGTGCTCCCACGGTAGTGTTGGCTACGCGGTGCACTTCTACTACGGACAAGCAAGTCGGTATGCATCGAATGAAATTGTAAAATAGCAAATAAAAAAGACGTAACAAATAAAATCGGACTTTTTGTCATCTTATGTTTGTCATTTAATAGTGAATAATAAATGAAGTGCAAATGGAGGAAAGTCATGTGTAACGTATAAAGATGACTACAAGCGCTTTTTAAGGAGAATCGAGAGTAATTATTATTTGAAGTGAGAGGCTAAGAAATATGTAAATTTCCTTTTCAAATAACGTATGAGCGGAAAGGTAATACAACAGAAAATGAACAAGAACTGATCGTAGTTCATTATTCAGAAAAAATCCATAGTTTAATAACGGCTAACAAGAACTTACGTTTCTGGTCGCGAGCATGACAGTTGTACGAGTCAGAGTAAAAGTCAGTAAGTATAGAGAAAAGTAGAGTGAGGTGGTCACGGAGTATGTTCGAGTGAGCGTGGAAGGTGGGACAAAGGGTGGGATAGTGAAGGGAGAAAATGGAAAAGAGAGAGGAGAGTAGGGGTACAGAAACATGGAGTGTAAAAAGGCAGCATTTGGAGGTTAGGTTTAGGCAGCAGGTATAGCGGAGCGGGAAGGCAACGGCAGAGAGACAAGTGGCGAGATCTGTGGGAGAAAGGGGAATTGAAAGAGGTGGTGATAAGGTCAGATTTTTTTTGAACCAAGGAAATAGAATGAAAGAGGATAGAAAGTTAAATGGGCGGAGAGAAAAGAGAAGGGGGGTGGAAAGAAGGGAAGGGGAGGACAAACGAAAAGGGAAGTTATATAAAGAGGAACTGCATAGAAGGGATAGCATTTGTAGTACAGGGAGTAGGGTGGAGTGTTTGGATAGTCTGTGTGGATAAAAGGAAGAAGGGGGGAGGTTGAGAAAGAAAAGGGAGTATTTAAGAAAAAGGGCAGAGGGGTGGGGGGAAGAGTAAGGAAGCATGGAACATTTAATATGGGAAATGATGCAAGAGTTAACACTAGCTTTACGGGCACTTATCGTGTAGGTATCTCTACGGCACGCATCAACGAACCCGCAGATTTTCTTTAAAAAACAACTTATTTTATATAATACACAATTTATGATCTCTGAAATTAATGCATAGCTATAGAGATAGGTATACCACATAGAGAATTTCGAGGTTAGAAAGCATTCGAAATGCGTCAAAATGACGCGTCCCGTAAACCTAGTGTTAAGGAAGATGAACGAGGAAATGAGAGAAGAAGGTTAGATGAGGAATGGAGAGGAGAGAGGGAAAGTTGGAAGGAAGAGATGAGGGAGAAGACGAGGGGAGAAAGCATAGAGAAAAGAATGAAGAAGATGGGAGATTGGAGGAGGTGATCGATAGGGTAGGGAGATGGGTAAGGGGAAAGGAAAGAAGGGGTAGTAAGGAAATGGCGGGTAAGAGGGAAGTAGAGGAATATAGGAGAAGAATGAGAAAGACAGAAGTAAAACAAGACAGGAAGGAGAGAGATAGGAAAGAAGAAATAACGTAGTGATAAGGGAGATAAAAACAGAGGTAAAAGAGGAGAAGAAGGAAGTGAGGATGTTTTGGAAAGGGATGGGATTGGAGGTGGAAAGGCTGAAGGAAGTAACAAATGGAAATTTCACATTTTTCACTGGGCCTCGATGCCCAAAAGACTTGCGCAAAGAGCGTCAAAGTCAATGGACGAAAGGTGGATAATGTGTTTCGTGTAGACCGCGATTGCGACTCGATCACCTCCCTCGATCGTAAAAAGGTCACTGCATTTCATCCTGCTTGAATTGTTCTTTCGTTTTGCAGGAGCATGTCAGCCTGGTGGGAAGGGACGCAGAGAACGGGCCGATCCTCGTCTCGATGAAGGCCGAAACGGTCGCTGGACAGGAGCACTGGCGGGTCTTGTTGCGACTGCGAACGGGCTCGACCCACGAATTAGTACCAGCCGCAAACCTCAGCCCGAATCCATCGCCTGCTAAAATGGTTAAGGTGAAATCTCGTCATCTCTCTTTCCTTCCATTTCCTCTTTCGTCTCCTCTACCCTTTTGTATGACGCTCTCACCGCGCTTGAGTTTCTCCTTTGAGCAATATGTATCGGAATTCCCATTGTATGGGGTATCCCACTGTTTTTAACAATATGACAAGTTGATACATTGCAGTATACAACTATACTTATTGTTAATCCTTTGAGTGATGTACTGATACGCATATTTCTTTGTGTTTTTTCAGTGTAAATAGTACACGTTATCTTCCATTTCATTTAAACATTCATTGTTCTATCGTATTTGCAAATAATGAGAAAGGAAGAAGACCATCTTCTACTGTTACTCCCTCCAGTCATGTTCAATAAAAGATAGATGTAATATTAATTACTATCCTGCTATACGTCAGCTGTCAGTGCCAAGTTACGAAACTTCAAGCAAGAAAACGTTATTACAATTAATATCGTAATATAAAGTAAAGGATCTGCCTAAAAATATTTGGATAAAATTTTGCAACCTTCAATAAATCAATTTAAAAAAAAAAATTGCGGATCTTCAGCTTTGGTTTGTGCTTTTACAGTAACAGTTATTCGGTTGTTTTCGATACGAAATAATTCTCCGGATTCTATCGAGCAAATTGATATACATTGTTATTATATTATAAATATCTTAATATGTTGAAATAATGATGAAAATGAAAAGAACACTCAAAACGCACCAATTGTTGCTGATATTTTTGAATTTACTTCAGAAACTAAGAATCTAACCATAGCATGCGATACCAGAAACTGTTATTTAAGTCTACAATGTCCTCTACCAATTCGATTTCCTTCTAATTTATTTAAACATGTTTGTTGAATTCATGTTTCACACAATTTTTACAATTTCATTATTGTATGGAATCATTCAAAAGAATTTTTATTTTATGTATCAGTCTTTTGATTTCAGAAATGTGACCATTAAAATACCAATAGAGGCACCTTCTACAGGGTGTATTAAAAATGTTGGAGGACCCGGAAATGGGAGACTTGTGAGGTGATTTGAAACAAGTTTTTCCTTAGCAAAAATGTTATCTGAGACTTTGTTAACGAAATATTAACGAAAACCCCCGACCAATCAGAGCACGAGTTTGCCGGCCGAGTTCCAGCGATAACGTTGGCTACACGCTGCGATTGGTTGGGTTCTCCAACATTTTTGTTACACCCTATATACAGTAACATGAGATCTTTTTAGGGCTACCACACATTTGACATCATGGAAAGCCTTAGGTTCAATTATTTAACGATTCTATACGCTTCTCACATGTAACAAGAAAAATGAAAGAAAACAATCGAATTATTTCTTTTTCATTTAAACAAATTGTTTTTTTTTTTTTCAAAAAGTTGTTCACATGGTTTGATTCCTCATTCGAAACCACAATTTAAAAAAAATTGGATAAACATATGATTAGTCATTTAGAAGAAAATTGGATGTCCAGATATTTACCCGTTTCGTCCAACTGTGCATCGTCTTGCCTAGGTGCGTTTCCATGATTCCGTTAAGATATGCACAGACGCTGCAAAGCTTCCTCGCGAGGCTACTTCAACCAACAGCTGCCTCCATCACACTACGCGCAGACACTGTCGGAAAGCGCACAACCCAAATCACAGCCGACTAGGGAGTTCGTTTAACTCCTAATATATCAGAAAGGGAGCTTCAAATTACAAATGGTAAAGGACTTTTCGAGTTGTACTTGCATAAGGAATATGCATGTTACGTATTGTCCCATATTTTTGGGACACCCTGTATATACATTCTGGACCTAGTCTTGTGCTCTTGGTTCTCCGTAAAGGAAAAGGGCTATATGACTCGTCAGTGATTCCTAGATATCTTATAGCAATCATGTTTGTCATGGGGTAGTCATCGTAACACTTCATAACGATCTTAAGAAAGGAACGATCAACGAGACATCTTTGATCTCGTAAAAAAATTGTTGACCCGTCGTGCGGCAACCTTGCCTCAAGGCAGTCTCAGTGCACACGTACATAATTCACGAGACACGTCTCGCGAGGCAGCCTAGCAGTGTCTATACATAGTTTAAGGTCTCAGTAGAGGAGCTAGGCCGATTCTGAATCATGGCTCTAACGGAAATGTTGTTGATCACGCTATTGTACTCGTACCAATCCCAGACCTAACCCTTCGGCTCCAATGGAAATATTGGTTACACAATTGCACACGTACATAAGCCAGACCTAGTGATTAGTGACATTTGATCTTTCGGGAGAGGGGATCTCGGCATCCCCTCCGAAGCCACGAGCCGGGCTGTTGAAGTACCCGGAATACACAAAGACCAGGGGGTCTAGGGGTGGTGTTACCCGGGGTAATTAACCTCGATTTTCCACCCGATCCAACTTCATTAGGCCCGGGCTACTTGGAGATAGAAAGTGGCGAAGAGTCGCTATGATAACTACCTAAGTTCAAGAGCTATGGAGTGGAATGCCGGGGAATCCAGATCCTTCGTCTGCTAAGGTGAAAACCAGCTCACTCTTGCTTCACCCACAGGCCGGGCCTGTACAACTGGGGGTTTCATCGTCGTATTCCTTCAACCAGAGAAAGCTAGATCGTTTACCCAACCCTCTAACGAGAGTTTACCTGCCTACGTCCGGCTAAGCCTAGGATCTCCCCGTCCTCTGTTGCCCATTGTCAATTACCACCCCTTTCCCACAGGATTGAGAGGGAGCTATAATGCTCCGGATAGATAGATAGGGGTGTCATGCTAGCCGTCCTCTAAAAGAGTCGTGGCCAGGTTCGCATTACAATCATGCCTGGGATTGAGTGTGATTTTAGTCTTACTACAGCTGGGTGTAAGCTTAATAGACAGATACGTGGTAGAGTAGATCGCGCCCCCTAGTTTACTAAGTTGTTACCCCACTATCGCCCTAAGTGTTAATCCCTGTCCCCCACCCTTTGAAGTTTCCAAGGAACGCGACGCAGAATGGTGTCCCACTGGACTGTTCCGAAGTTCCCTCTGGGAGGATAAATATCAGATACACCAGGGGTCGCCACCCGCGTTGGATTGGTATTTTTTGCGGTACCACATCATAGGGTTGATGACATCTTTCCGAAGTACGCCGGTACGTTGTTGCGTCTGCCAGAGCGCTCCGTTATCTTTTTCTGACCATCCCTCATTTCCAGATCTCAGTTTTAATGGCATGCCCTTACGGGAGACGGCCTGATGTGGTGCCACGCTTAGTCCGGTGTGTCTTACGATGAGGTTGAAGGCCTCGTGATGGCGGTCGGGATCTGTTCATGTCCTCCCTACATCAGAACGCCTGAAATGACCTGTTGAGTTGTCCTGTCATTTGTGCGTCCGATTCGAGATGTTCGTTGTATATTCCGGGGTTCGAAATATTGCCACAGCTTTCCCGTAGTGGTGCATTCGTATGTCCTCCCGTCGAGAGCAGCTGATCTGTAGCGCATACCTTTCCTGTCCCGAGAGGACTGACCGCTGGACCCGACAGGGTAGGTGGTTTTGTGCTCCTTATTCATTGTGCTGGATTAATGGTCGCGCTTGTCCTATCCTTGCAGATTAGCTGATCTCGAGGTTAACGTTAGCAGCCCCTGGGTTGAGGCTGATCGTCTTTTTTGATCCATGTTCCGGATTGTGCGTGTCGAGTTTCCTTCCCGAAATCAATTGGCCGACAGGCCCATCTTCCGACCTAGGTTACGGGAACTCTCCTTGCATTTTCCTTCAATTTGCGGCAATGGATGGTCTTCGTACCTCGAGTGTATAGGCAACTAGTCCGGCCTACGAGGCACTCCCGAACCATGTCTCGCTTTCGATCTATCTTTGCGTATATAGATCAAGGCGTGTCTCGGTCCTTCCCCCAGAAGACGATCATCCTGTCTGTGAATATGATCTGGTGTGGTAGGGATGGAGAGAAAGAGAGGGAGGGAAAGAGAGAGACGTAGAAACAGCCTGCGAGAAGAATACGGATATTTAGTACAGTCGTGGATGGAGTAATCGGTGCGCATATTTAAGGAAAATTTTTTGTAAAACTCCATACCTCATGATTAATTCCCATTTACTGATACGATGATCGCAGTATGACACAGATCTTTGTTTCTCTTTTTACACAGGTTATCAATGAATCACTGAACGTGAGTACGCTGATGCCTGTTGTTTGTTCCGGTGCTGGTGCACTGATAGCGCGATACGACGAACACGCCCTCGTGTCAAGGTTTAAATTTGGCGTTCTTCATCAACGTGCTGGCCAAATTACAGAGGAACAACTTTTCGGGAATCAGCAAATTACGCCAGCTTTCCAGGAGTTTCTGGACCTACTGGGTCAAACAATCGATTTGAAGGATCATAAGGGGTTAGTAATAGACCATACTGTTTGGAATGATTTGGGAGACTGGGGTGCCTGGAGGAATGCTTGTTGTTTAGAAGTTTTGCGATGTAGTGCTGCCAGAAATTTTGTATACTCTAGATTTAAGGGGAGAGACTCCTTCGGGGCCAACTCCCAATCGATCGAAGCGCCGATGTAAACAAACGGGTGCTAGCGAAAATACATAATCGGTAGCTGAGTGCAACGATTTTTTCTATTCGTACGTGTAGTGATGCTTATTTTTTTAATTAATGAAATTATGTACGAAGTACTTGAAATTCCCGAAAAGCAAATTGTAAAAATGACACCATATAGTCCGGATATTCCATGTATAAAAAACATGGAATACTAAACAAATCTGCTGTTCAAAATGATATTCATTTATCTTGTATTGACATAATTGATACGAGTGTTATACGCATACACATATATTTCATAAAAATGACACAAAAGAACATTGAATAAACAAGTTTATTCGATGCGAATTTATTCAATGAAGGAAGATATTTTTTTTATTCAAAGACTGTTTCATTCGTAGTGCCGAATAAAATTTTCATCTTTTATCTGTATCTTTATTTGAAGGCTTCGAATAAAACGTCGAATAACTTTTGCCTGCTTGAATAATAGTCCCATCGAGTACGTATATGAGTAGACATTTCACCTTACGGGAATTGGTGGCCCACCTAAACTGTTGTACCGACACAACAAAAGTCCTGTGATTTTACTGACCTCTACGTTTTAAGTGCGGTGAATTTGAGAACTACGTTCAACTCGATTCGAGCTAAGCTAGTCCCACAGTCATACTTGGACAGTGTTGCCATGGCTAAAGTACGCAACATTGTCAGATCATGAGTGTTCGATAGGTCCGGAAATCAGCGAAGGAACCATGCTCGAACGGATTCTCTCCTGTCCGTTCGTTGTAAACTATAAAGTAGACGTATTAGAAAAGGGTCTTGGGTTCAAATCCCAGCGGACCTATTAGTTTTTCTTTCGCGTACAAAAAAGTAATCAGCTTTAATATTGCTAGTATAAACACGTATATGTATTATTACGTAAATTTGAGTAAAATATTTTATTTATCCATCGTCAATACAGCACCAACCGCAGAATATGTACATTGGCCGTCCCTGTACAGACAATATTCAATCTTTTCGTATTTCGGTTCTGCGAATTAATTGTACAATGATCGTTCTAGTCTCTTTATTACATTTATAAGTTAGTGTACATAATGTTATTGGCAATAAACATTGTTATTGTTTCAATTCAAAAAACCGCTCCTTCGAACCCCAACTCCTGAGGCTAATCTCGAACACTTGTTAATGCTTACGTATTTAATCTCTGTAGATATCGAGGAGGTTTGGACACCCGACACGGGCAGACGGGCGATTCTGCGGTATATGAGGTATTCCGAGGGCGAGAAGTGCTCTTCCATGTCGCCTCACTTCTTCCATACAGTCCAGGGGATTCTCAACAACTGCAACGTAAAAGGCACATCGGTAATGACATCGTCGCGATAATATTCCAAGAGGAGCCAACACCTTTCAGTCCGGATATGATTGCCAGCCACTTCTTACACGTATTCATTGTGGTACAAGTCGTCGACCCCTGCACTTCTAATACGAGGTATATTCTTGGATTCGTATGCATTCTGTTGTAATATGCTACCGTGAAATTTGTACCGTAATTTTTCTCAACTTTAAACAAACGTCCGCTTAAAGTAGCTCGTGAAACGTTTGACCACGTAGCTGAATAGACGAATTCCGTTTGTCATTGATTACTATACCAACCTAATTATACATTCCAAATGCAGGTACAAAGTAAGTGTGACAGCGCGTAACGATGTTCCTTGGTTCGGTCCAGCATTACCAACGCCTGCTGTGTTTTTGCGTGGAGTCGAATTTAAGGAATTCCTTCTAACGAAGTTAGTAAATGCTGAAAACGCGGCCTATAAAGCTGAGAAGTTCTCAAAACTTGAGGTAACTATCGCACTGTATTTCGTCTACTAACACTGAAGTAGGCGCGCCCTTTATATATATATGTATTCAGTTAATACGGAAGCCAGTGTTAAGAAATTTTTATGCAGTTGTGACATAATTGCATTATTATGAGTTATTTCTTACAATATGGATAAAATTGCCCCTATTACTTCCACAGTGAATACAGATGTATTTATTATTCATCCAAGAATCAATACAAATCTTATTCCGTAAATACAATCGGTTTGTGAATATAATGTGACAGGTGCAATTTTTTTTAACTGATTTGATTTTCGATTTCTTTCGATTTTTAGAGGTTGTTCGGCGAATTATACTTCTTGGATTACGTATATTACTCTAACCCCGGTTAATACGTTACTATTTTTATAAAATATTGTACGGTTCCTCGTTGTAATTGTAACATACTGAACCGAAAAAAAGTGTATTATATAAACATATATATTCATACATAATCCCTGTATGGATCATAAAAACTTGCCTACTTTATAACCTTATGTGAAAAAATTAAGGCATAAATATATGGTTAATTTATTTGATAAATAACACATTAATGAAATAAATTTTGTATGAACAGTTAAGGACGCGGTCAGCTCTTTTGGAGTCCTTGACAGAAGAGTTACAAGCGAAAACCGCAGAATTTCTTGGAGGAGCAATTGGATTGGGTGGTGCTGGGTTGGGATTTGGAGGAAATTGCCCAGTAAGTCCTACAGCAAGTGACACATCGGGATCTGGCAGCGGAGGAAGTGGTTCTAGATTCATCGAGACTGTTCGAAAGGCGCTGATATCACGTGTTAGGAACGCATCGACGGAGAGCGTGCCACAGCAATTATCAAAGAAGAGCCAGTCGGAACCTAGTCCACTGAGTAATCGGCAATCGACTACGAAGAATAGTGGGAAGCGTTCGGTAGAACCATCGAGTCCCTTGGGTTCTCCGGATCTGACCCTCCGAAGAGATTTGGAATGCGGAAGCCCTAGTTTAGGAAGCCAGGACAGTAGTTTGTCCAACACAGACAATCAAGATAGCAGTTTAGCCACTATACAGCAGGATGAGGGTGATCGTCGAGAATCCACCGTGTCCATTTGTGTCAACAATGACATAACGATAATGGATAATAGTTCTGTACAGTCTGTTCAGAGATTGACGCATGAGAACCTGCGGAAACAAAAAAGATCGGAGAAGACCGAAACTACTCGACGTGTTATTTCCGAAAGTGACGACAGTTCGTTAAACAGCGAATTGGAACTCGATCAGGTTGTATATCCTGACAGCGATACTGGCCTCGAATCGATGAGTTCTGCAGAAACTCATGACACCGCACGATGTACCACTAAGGATGGTGTATTGGAAAATGAAAACTTGAGGATGGAAGTTACAAGGCTCAAGTGCGACAAGTTAGACCTACTAAGGCAGAATGTGGTAAGCAAACAAATACTTCTGAGTTTGTATATAAGATAAGCTGGGGAAAATCTCGAAGAATTTAAGTTCCATGGTTATTCACCTCGAGCTGATTACTTCGTGTAACTCTTTCACGGAAAGACCAATTTGAAATTTCATTTTTAACCTAATGTTATAGCAATCTATATGTTCTTAATACAATGAACAGCGCGAAAGCAAAGTGAGATAAACATATTTTATAAATACAGTATTAACAATTACACTGTTCAACAAATTTTAACTTTCTACCGATTTTCTAAACCGCAACAGGCGTTAGTGACATATTTGTATAAAATGAATACGAATCCTCAAACCGTTTTTGCCAGTACGTACAATTTATATTTAATTTTTAAGAAAATTGAAAATTCTTGAGTATAAAGAGGTTTTGTCGTTTTTTTTAGTAATAATCTGTACGAATTGAAGTCTCGAAGGTGATATTCAAGACTAAGTGATACAGTTGTCGGATTTAGACTAAAACAAGCATGTCCAAAATGTGTCCCTCGGGTCACACCGCCAGACGACGCGGTCCCCACCATCACTCAGTCTATTCCCCAATAGGTACATGTGCATACTGCGCATGCTGACTGTCCCCACTTTCGACACTTCCAAAATTCCTACCCGTGGGATCTTGGCAATAATAATTTGCAACGTTTAGGTAATTTGTAAGGCAATAATGACACACATACTGGTGACTCGGGCGTATAACATTTGGTAAATCCTCGGTATTTTTAGTTTTTTTTTGTTGTACTTTTCCATATTTTATTTTTGTATGGTTATGATCTGAAAACCATGGAAACGTAAGTATCGATACACCAGTTATGGGGGGGGGGGGGGGGCATTCCCCACGGCTGAAAGAGCTTGGACAGAATCCGATGTTGTGTAGAAACTATGTGTTGGATAAAGAACTTTTCCTAAAAATGCAAAAATCGGGTCTTTTTCAAAAGAAAAAATCGTCGGGTCTTTTTTAAAAGTTTAAAAATCGTTCCTTATCACCTCCTTCACTCACCTATCACGTCGGGGTCGCAAATTTGAGGTGATAGGGTCTAGGTGGATTCAACAAGGCGTTTATCACAATGCGTCTTTATGAGGATTACAGTCGTGGAAGAAGCGTGCCCCGCCGCGAATTTCCCCTGGAGTATCCGCCGGTCTTCAGGTAAGCCGCCTTTCCGGAGGGTCCTCGGGCCCTGAGGATATCCCGCCAATATTTCCGGTTCCCCTGAAACTGGACCGAGTACAACATTCGGTCCCCTGAACGCGTCTGTGGTCTCCATTTCTGGGTCTCTCCCACTGCTACCTCCATTGGAAGTCCTATACAGAGGGAGGCGCGGGGTTACTGCTGTCTTGGTCCTATTCTGTTGGTGTGGATGTTTGCCGACTCCGCAGTCGACCGGCTGCCTCGCGAAGTAGGCTCCTCCACCGTTGTTCGGCGGTGTGGTCCCCTCGTAGGGCGGGGGGGCTCTTTTCCCAATAACCGGATTGTCCGATTCCCAATATCCTACGGCTCCTAGCCAGGGTTGGGAAGGTTAATTTGAGTTTTACAACAGTTTTCTTGTATGTACTCTTAATATTTAAGTATTAAAGTATTTAAGTGCTAATGCTTCAAGATACATATGTTCTCTGGGCATCATAAGAATAAAATAAAGTTATTGATTTTGAAACACAAGTCGGTTGTGAAAACTTCCAATGCGTTGAACTAAATCTTGCGAGCATTTTCATTCACGATTTAAGCGAACATTGAAGAATTTTTTTTAAATAAGATTTAATAAACTCTAATTTGTGATTTGACAGAACTGTTCTTTCTACAAATACATCTAAGTTTGAGAATACGCGTCGTTTACGCTGTATCGTCAACAGGACGGTGGTGCGCCAATATATATTCATTTAATAAAGGAAATACAGAAATTCGAAGAATAAGTTAGTTTGTACGAAAAGAAGGTTCGAAAGTTATTCGAAATTTATTCGAAGCTTACGAATAAAAGTACAAAACAAAGTACGAAAAAAGATGAAAACCTTATTCGACGGCTCGAATAAATTCCGTTCGGAATACAAAAATTATCTTATGTGGTCGAATAAAAAAATTATCTTGGTAAATATTTAGAATAGAGGAGGCAACTCTGATGTGTCACCTTTCTCAGTGACCTTCAGGAGGTTATAATCGTCCCTCGTTTTCTATTAGAAAGTTATAAGCAAAAAATGTCTACAACATGTAGCAGTTATTTTGAGTGTTGAAAGGCTCCAATGACCTTGACCTTGATATTTTTCGGACTTACACGAACAGCTCCGTCACTGTGTGCGTGTTGCTCTCGAGACGGGTCTTACACATCAATACTCATTCACTTTCCTTCTCAATGGTCGCGATCGGTAAATTCCGATTTTAGTCTAAGAAATTACTCTGGCACCGTAATCGGAGGGTTAACACATCAATACTCATTCACTTTCCTTCTCAATGGTCGCGATCGGTAAATTCCGATTTTAGTCTCTACAAAAGGTGAAAAGGTAATAGTATGGGGACCATGTTAACTTAGATCAATAGCATATGGGAGATCAGGGACAAACGTAAAAATCTGTCTTTTCGAGCCTGTAGCTTTTAACCTGTGACCTTGAACGACCTTGAATAATTATAGTCCCTGAATTCCTAATGAAAGGAAATATCATTGCGGGTGTTTAAAAAAAGGGTGATTCCATTTTAAAAAATGAAGGTGACCTTGATATCTCTAAAAGAAAATAGCATAAAAACAAAAATTTTGTTGACATCGTGTGAATCCCATGGAACCATTCAACTTTGTCCTTAAGATATTTGACGTATCTCTAAAAACAACAAAGATATTTGAGGTGCAAACGTTAGCTGGCTCACATTGTATATGCAAACCTAACTTATTATCATGAAAAATGTTATATCTACTTGAAAATATACTAATTATTTAATGTAACACGAAAACATTTAAAGCATGTTACGCAACTGAAACAAGTAAATACATAATTGTTTTTACTTTAACCTTGATGTACATGCATTGAAATGATAGATCTCAAGATGGCGTTCAAAGGGACCTCTCCCTATAAGCCTGTAGTTCATATTTAACACAGAAAATGAAAAATCTTGTGTACATTTGTAGTCCCCCTATCCCTCATTAAAAGTGAAAAATCGTAGGTGCCTGTTTCTTGATTTAGCTAAGATACAGGGCATCCAAGTTGTTAAAAATATTAGGTAAAATAGACCCTAAAAATATGGATTACGTAATTCAGTATTGTTGTAATTATATAAGTATGTTTATTGTCAAGTAAAAAGAAGCAATTATACTTCCGAATACAACTAATATTTTACCACTGTTCTAATACTTCAGCTATTCGATGCGACCATCCGTCAGCGATTTACTCGCTTTTACGCTCGTGTAATCCTTGGAAACGACAAATGTTGCTTCTAGTACAGTGGACTCTAATTATATTGCCATGGTAGGGACTGTAGAGGAGTAAACTGGCAATGAGTTCAGAGTCTCCTCCATGCTGAGTTTTGTCGTTTTAACCTCGGCCTCATAGTCATTGGCGTAACTAAAAACCCTCCCTCAGAAAAAATTCTAGTTACGCCAATGTTTATAGTCTGCGCAAAAGCTGGATCGTGCTGGTGCGCCGGCGTATGCAACGTGGAGGGAGAGCGAATTTGTGTGCGCGAAAATACGTGTGAAGGGGAAGTGCCTCGCGTGGCAGTATATCGCGTGGTACTATGCTTCCAGGTTATTCATCTACAACGTTATATTACAGACTTGTCAACGCGACATAAAACGTCTACGTGAAAAGGAACTCCAATTGGAATCGGACCTTGCAGCTGCCTCAAAGGAAATTCTACGATTACGAGCGATGCTAAAAGAATGTTCGACGAGTATTCCATTGGACAACAATAACCAGCAAACGTCTACCGTTTAAGCGTTATTTTCACATGTTTAGTACACCTATATTGGCGAGTAACTTACTGTTACGATTATTAGATTTTATTAATTAGTTGAGCATAGTAGTTGATAACATCGTAAATACTTACCGTTTTAGGATCTCTTCTTTTGAAGAATACTTTCCGAAACAGTTTTCAAAAAGTATGAAATTTGCAATTGAAATGATTTATGTTTGATTTCGACTAGTATGGTTAAACTTGTTTAGATAGAAATTGGCACAAACGTAGGATGTTAAGTAAGAAGAGGTGTTAGTGAATGACATTTAAATAAGAAACAAAAGTGAGCTTGCGATATATAATTATAACGATGCGTTTTTCGAGGTATATGCAGCGAAGCTGATCGTTACTTATAGTGTAATATTTGTTTCAATTTTAACCATATTATTTATCAATTAATTTATTAATATGTATAAGTTAACCTCCAATAGTCAATAGAATTATAAGAAAATGATTGCGCAAATACGTCGAAACGTGAATGTAGATTCAAAGAAATAGATGCATCTTGTTATTATACAGTAAAATTAGAAACGTTAGAATAGAACAATTGAAATGGCCTTTAGACTTAGCACTTCCGATATTAAGTGTAAGCATATAGAAATGAATATAATACATTTTATCTGTAATAATTAAATGTTCATAAACACTACGTATACATGGTGTGATATATGCATTTCTCGTATTGTTTTAACACGAAGAAAGTGCATATTGTTCCATGAAACTCTAGAAATGTGTTTTATCGATATATTCCTGACGTCTCATGTTGAAACAAGGATATGCATCGTTAACTACAGTATTTATTATGGTAAATTTACCAAAACGATTACTAGTTCTTTAGTATTAATCCGCAAAAATTTTAGCGTGTACGAAAGCCTTACTAATTAATTTCCCGGTATCATTAGTTAATTTAGAATAAGATTAGGTTTTCTAACCATTCGAAGAGTTACAATGATTTAGCTGCACCAAATTGTTTAAGGCCCTAAAACGTTTCGACGTGCCAATTGCGTTACAAATGTAATACGTATTACCGTTCATTGTTCAGAACTGCACAAACATAAACGACCTGAATTTATTATCATTGTTTTTCACTGTCGGTATTAGTATGATCATTATATGTTTTCCTTATACAGTATTTTGTCAACTACTGTCAGACTGGCCATGCCCCGTTGCTGTCAGAGTGTAAGCCTTATCACTGGAGAGAGGGGAGATAAAACCAGTCAATCACATAATTTATTATCCCGGTACGCCGCGGTGGCTTCCTTTTCACGAGCCGACTGCTGAACGTTGGAAGCCCCCAAAAAGATACGGTAATATTTAGAATACGGGAGGCAGCTCCGATGACGTTGACCTTGATATATATGGTCAAGGTCATCCTGCTAAGTGACCCTGAGAAGATTTTTGGCCGTCGCTCTTTATTTGTTAAGAAGTTATTAAACAATAAATTTCGCAATATAAAGGTACTCAATAATTTAAATTTTACCTAGTACAAACACTATATTATTAGCATATTTGCTTCACTAAGTGATTGCGTGGGAGAAGGAGGGAGTAGAGTGGAGGAAGCGCTCTGTCCCGACCTCTGCGCCCCCACCTCGAGAACAATATAACCCAAACCTACCCCGACTTCATTTCTGATTACATTAAACTGGTATTTGGGTTAGGTTCGGGCTACTAAAAAAGTTGGAACTTTTTAGGAGGGGGGGGGGGATACCGATATCCCCTCTCCCGGGTAATTACGTTCCAAACTAAACTAAACTAGGTTAAGGCTAGGTTTTTCTCGGGGTGGGGGTGCAGGAGGACAACCAGAGACCCTCCCCGCCCACGCAATCACTTAAAGGAACAGATATGTTAATAATACAATGTTTATACTGTTTAGGTGAGATTTAAATTGTGGAGGTAAACATACATCTTTATATTGCACAATTTATTTGTTAATAACTTTTTAACAAACAACGAGCGACTGTAAAAGTTGCTCAAAGTCACTCGGAAGGGTGACATTTACGTCATATGTTAAGGTCAAGGTTACTGGAACCCTTCAATACTCAAAATAACTGGTACATTTTGCAAATTATTTTGTTTATAACTTTTTAATAAGAAACGATGGATGGCTAAAACCGCCTGAAGGTCACTCTGAGAAGAGTTTCCTTGACAACGTATGTCAAGATCAAGGTTATCGGAACTGTCTCCCCTATTCTAAATATTTACTGATTTTTCTTATTAAAATGGTACCAAACATGATATAATTTGGATGATATTTACTTACTTAGAAAGTGTTACCAATTCATATTTTTTCATTATCGATTCTGATAAATTACAAACACGGATTGTTCTCGAGGGGAATTGTGGAAATCTTCAAAAAGACACTATGGATGGTCCACGGTCCTGCAACGTGTGGAATTCTTACCCATTAAAATCACAAACCCTGTCCTCTTGGCTAGATCCACCGCGGAACCGCTGTTTGCTTACTGTAGGGTGGTGCCATTTCTTGGCATATAAACGTGCTGTCCGTCCTGCTCGCGCTCAAATAAACGTCGTGCGTCTCTAGAAGCACAATTCGACGGGTGTGGTGATTGTAAACCTCCGCTCTTCGCGTTGTTGAAAGAACTTGGGTGCATCCACTTTATCCAAATTTCACCTGAGCATGTTTTCCTGGCAGCTCCTGTGGGACCTGCTGTAGATCTCAAAAGAAATACATTGGTGATCGATACCGGTGTAGTCCTCGATTACCATCCATGTTTGTGTTCGTGGCGTTAGGCGATCAGAGGCCGAAGAGATATCAGGTATGGTCTCTGTTTACCCGGAACGTCGGTACGTTGTCGCTGAACCCTCGTTCAAGACGATAAATCCTGTTCGAACGGCCATTTCCATGACAATGGTGCCCCCAGTGTCAGGGCTAGGCGTGCCCCACTCTACCGCCTTAGCGTTAAAGTCCCCCGCCATCTCTCGATACGCTGCTAATATCTCGTCTTCAAACTCGCATAATCCTTCATTTGGCGTGAGGTAACAGCTAAAGAAAGTGACCCCTCCGCACCTGATCCAGACGAAGCTACTTACCCTTCCATGCTTCTCCACAAATGTCTTCCCTGGGTCTGGCGTCCAGATGCCGGCTGTACTCAGCGAGTCCACGAACCACGAGGTCGGATTGCGATTCTTTTTTTCTGATTATCTCGTGCAGAAGATTGTCAGCTACCCTGCTTCTGTGAAGGTTCCCCTGTAGGACTTTCATTATGTGACCAGAATTTTGGCATCGTCTAAGGCTTCCCTAAACACTGCCCATCTCCGACGATGTGGCTCAGTTTCTTCTCTTCACCTCTGTCTCGGTGTCTTCCTATTTGATCTCTTTGCGGAGCTCCGCGAGGATCTCGGCGTAGGTCTTTCTCTTCGTCGATCTTACTAGGAAGGCCTTCGGTCGGGGCTTAGCCCGCCTTGTTTTCCGCTTCTTCTTTTTCCGAACTTCATGGACCGGGGTACTGCCGTCGTTAACCTCAGGGGCAGTGACCTTCCCTGCCGTCAAGTCCTGCTTACGATTTCGTTTTTGGCGCACTTCCTCCCAAGCATCCGATGGCGGGTCTTGTCTCTTCTTCTTTCGATCTCTTGTTTTGTCGGACTGGAAGTTACTCTCTTCTTGGAAACGTTTGCTCCTTCTGCTGGTAGCGTGCGTGCAACAGTGTCTGGTGCCTTGACCGGCGTCCTCTGCTTAGTCTTGTGTAGCTACTTCTGTAGGCGTCGCGGCGCTTTGTCCCCAAAGACTTTTTTAGGGATTGAGGTCCACCGACTCAGCAATGCGGTTTTTAACTTCCATGCTGATATTCTTCTGTCCACTCGTAGCCATTTTCATCTTCTACATCGTGTCCTTCACTTTTTTGTGAGCCATCTGAATGTCCCTTTCCACCGGGAAACTCGTGTCGCATTTCGTGCATACCTGCGGGGTGGCCGGAGAGTCGTTTCTGTAGCAGATGATCCGTGTCCCTTCGGTGAGGCATCCCCAGGAGTCTGCAGTCCTCCAAGTTCGCTCGCGACCCTCTGTCTCCGCGCTTGTTTAGCCGTTGAGGAAGGGGCCCTACTCGTCATTGAACTTCTCTGGAAGGGTTTATCTTACACCCCATCGTGCGTGGTAAGTACACGATAGGTATCCTGCGGCTTGTGTGCGTGTTGTGTGATTGTGTTGGTGCATGCTTAGTCTGACTCTTCACAGCAGATCCGTCCGGCTAGGGTGACCCTACCTGGGGCTTACGCTCATGCCGACATGGCTCCACTGATCGTCAAGGCACTCAAGCTCAGCGCACCGCGACAAGGTGATGCTCCACGAACAGAAAACACGTATTGTTAGACACATTTAAAGTAATACTAGTATAGTACTTCTATAGTATGTTGTGTATCAGGGTAGTGTGAAGTACAATATTCTAGATTATTTATAACAACGAACATTTTCTACATAAGTAAATGTGATCCAAATTATTATATATCGTCTTTGGTATCATTTTAATCAGTAAATTCTCACCAATATGTTGGTATTGCAAGTGTTCATTGAACCCCTATGGGGTTACAAGTACCTCCGGTTCTCTTATATTATCTTCTAATTTATATATGTACTATCTAACTTATGTACTACAGCAATATGTAAGTAAAAGTTTCATTAACAAAGAACCAAAAATAAAAAAGTTTCATTGTTGCATTAGTGTTGTCTCACCGATACCCGGGCATTTAACGTTTTTTGGTCTCCCAAGGTTCAATCGTCGGCTTGTCAAATGAGGTCTTTTTTTCTCTTACCAACTGGCTCGACGTGCTGAGCGCCCTCGACAGACAGAGCATGGGAATGTACGACGCTTACAAGGGGCGCGCCAAGGCGCGATAATCGCTTTTGGTACGACGCTAGGTACAAATTGTAGTACACATTAGGTCAATGTCCGTATTTCTAATCACGTCCCGATTTCTGGTCAGGACGTATATTTTTTATTTAACGTAAAAAGTTAAATAATAAATT